TCGGTGCAGTTAGACGCACAAGTAGATTCTTCGGATGAAGAAAACGACAACCGAAGTTCAGAAATGGAAGACTATCCGTTGCATGCACATCCTGTAGAAACGTGCTCTCAACCAACTGATCTGGGACAAGAGTATTTAGACACGGAAAACACAGTATTTTGTGTTGCTCCTGGTGAAAATCAAACACCACAAAGTGTCTTCCATGAGAAAGGGGCGGATGCAATGCTTTACCCAGATGGCAAATTTGGATTCCTTGAAAATCGACCTATAAAATTGTCGCCTACAAAATACTCCAATGCCCGCTTTATTTTTCGCCGACAAGAAGTTAAAAAAACTCACTGAGGAACTTTGGGTAAAAGCTGCTACGGGTACTTATGTTAACAATACTGACCACCAACCCTTTCTGAAAATGGCAAGCAGAAGGCAACGAAATGGCAAGAAGTCCCATGCCCCTACTCTCATACATGCCATGCTAATAAACAGATAGACAACTTCATTTTAGTAGCGGCTCCCCTACAATGGTTAATATGGCCGTAGGAACGGGGGGGGGGGGTCAATAATTTTTGGAGTTAATACTTTCCGAAACCTACCAAAGTAAAGTAGGAAGTAGATCAACATGACCAGAGGCGGAAATAAAGAGTGAACTTGCTTCAATATTACGTGGAGTTGAACGACCACCAGCACTTTATTGTGAAGGACCTATAGGAACAGTAGAAGATCTTCATATAGATAGGTACGAGGTGCTAGCATATACACTTTTACATGATCTAACAAATGTTATTCAGAATTAAATACAAGATCTCCCTCATCATGTTCCTGATGACACTATAAACAAGAATTTCTAGCATTCAGGGAGACAATTATAGGTAAAACAAGAAATGTTTGTGAAACACTTATCCCCCCCCCCCCTCATAGGGTCATAGCTCAGTCAAAAATTGTTCGAACGCTCAAAAAAAGGCTATGATTTAGATATTCTAATAATTAACCCATTTCAGTATGTTCGATGTGGGCCTTTGTAGTTAGGATTACAAACCCTAAAAGAGGTGTTTTATACACCGCTTGAACATTTTAGCCACAAGTACATTCTAAAACACCAAGCTCAGCTACTTGTATACACCACAGCAAACTGCATCTGGCAAAGGCGGATCAAGGGCCGGCGCGCCGGGCGGACCCCCCCCCCCCCCCCGTTTGAATTTTCTATATGTAGAACATCTCTTATTGTAAGAATTCGTCAGCCCCGGACCCCCACTAGGGCTTTGCTCTAGACCCACTGGGGGGCTTCAATGCAGACCCCCTGGCTTCTACTGCCCGCCACACCCCTCCCCCGTTTTGACATTCCTGGATCCGCCACTGTCTGGGAGGCACAGAAATAGGCTTTGTCACTATAAAACTTGGCCTTATTAGTGCTGAAGAGATTTTATTGAAGGAGATACTATAAAGTTTACTTCATTGAAAAATGGACGGATAAAATGCATATATTTTCATCAGAAATTGTCGAAGAATTTAAATATATCTACATGTAGTGGCAGCAAGAGGGCCTACGGTAATTATCCGTACAACTTACATCTTAGAGTAGTAAGGGGGACAGAGTACAGTCAGTATACAGTCACGATGACGTCATGGGGTTTTCCAAACCCCGCCCACATAGGTCATAATATGGGTCACAGTCAAGGGTGAGTCTACAGTCAATGACGTCATAGGTATCTAAGTGCAGAGAGTGAGTCTACAGTCAATGACCTCACGAGGTAGTTTACAGTCAAGAGTGAGTCTACAGTCGCTGAGGATATTTATGTGCACCAAGTGCGTCTACAGTCATTGAGGTCATTACAGTCAAGGTCAAGCATTTCACAGTTTAGTGTGTCAAAGTGTGATCACAAGGTTTTTTCACAGTCAAATACAGAAAAAAAGCAATAAATACCACAAACATTTATTTGTTTTGTTATGACGATGAATACTCAGGAAAAGCAGTACAAGTGGAAAATTTTAGCCTGGAGTGCTATAAGAAGAAATGAGAACAAATGGACATTGCAAGAAAGTCAATGGTTTGACAAAAAAGAGGATTGCATTGCTGATTTTAAGGAAAAAATGAAAAATGGTTATGACATTGCAGACTGCTGGGGATCTGAAGAATATCTACTAAAACGTCGAATTATGCCAAAGAAATACTTCCCACATTCCTGATGAAATATAGCTATGTTAAAAATTCAACGAGGGAGTGGATGCATAAAAAAACTTAAATTTAATGATCATGTACAAGTAATTTTAATTCCATATGAAGATCGAAAGGGGATTTGGATGGAATTTGCCATAGATAGAGCTCATTTTAAGAGGAGAGTTCAACAAACGGAGAATATTTTATTACCTGTGCTTCTTCAGAAGTTCAAACAATGTACACTTTACAGTCAAAAGAACGCAAAATAGGAAAAAGGGAGTGTCTCCCATTTTCGCCTGATATGTATAAATAAGTGCCAGTGTGTTAAGTCAGCATACAGTGTCTTATACTGTGAAAATGGATGGTCTTGTAGTAGAGAGAATGCTGAGGAGAATATCTTTCCAATGGATTCCTCGCTTGAACGACTGTTTTCTCGTTTTAACAAGAAGAGAAGAAGAAGATCTAGTGTGGATCTTGATGTACCTGATGCAATGCCAGAAACTGGCACTTACCATTAAAGGGAAACTTAAGACTTTTAAAAAAGAGAATCTAAACATACCATTATCAAAGTGGAAAAAACTAACAAAGTTAGTGAATGATCTTAATAGGAAAACAGAGGGAATGGACGTGCAGCTCTCTGCAACAATGAGGAAAAAAGAAACACGCCACTCATGTGCTTATTATTTTGGAAAAACACTGTACAAGACTACAAAGGAATTACTTGAGACCCTTCAAAAAACTCGTAAATTCATAAAAACCAACCGAAAGAACTTTGTTGTGCAAAAATAACTGTCAAATGTGCCTATTGATTAAGAAAAAAACAAGTTAATTTTACAAAGTATGTAAACAGACATTTGTACAATCAAGAGGTCACAGTCAATTGATCTACAGTCAGTGCGTTCTACAGTCAACAGATTTCCACAGGAAGTGCATTCTACAGTCGGTGCGTTCTACAGTCAAAAATTCTACAATTGGTTCATTTTACAGACATGATTCTACAGTCACGAGCCACGTGACTTGAATCATATATAAACTTTGAAAATTTCAAAAAGTTTCATCAGTTCTGAGCAAATCTCAGACAGGATACAACTCTGCTTTTTTTTTTGTTCCTCGTGAGATCCTTGTCAGCAGCAGAAATGGAGCAAAAACATCAAGACTTGATTAAGGCAAACTACTCGACAATGGTGAAGAAGATGATGGCTGTTCCTGTTGCGGGACATCTTTACGCCTCAAACATAATTACCGATGAAATGAGACAACAGATAGACGCTGAGAAAACCAGCTATGACAAAAACAGAAAATTGATCAGCTTCATTTTACGTCGAGGTTCGAGAGCTTTTATGGGACTTAGAATGGCATTAATGAAAGCCAATCAAGCTGACTTATCCGGACTCCTAATAAATAAGGATGATGACACAAAGTCTGAGTACGAAAAGAAGCTGGCCATGGCAAGATCATTAGTCGTTAGTACTAAAGAAAGAGGAGGTTCCAGAAATCAATCAAAGAAAGTCGATCATCAACAGTCTCAGGAGCCATGATGTAGGATAAGTTTGGATGACTTTAATGACCTATTCCTCACCGTCATGCCTTTTAAGGGGGAGATTTACGTCCACATCCGTCATTTCACAGAATCGCATGGTCGTTTCATTGCCACCAAGAAGGGAGTTACCTTTCCTTTAGCCCGTTGGTTAAAGTTTGAATCTCTTTTACCAGGTATTCAAGACTACATTGACAATACTGGAAAAGAGGATGAAGAAGCACAGTGGCATGTTGGTGGAGGTGTGTTCGTTTCGTTATCACCAGGCTATCCGACAGTGGACATAAGACACTTTTGGAAGCCAGACAATGTTCAAGAACCTATACCTACAAGGAAAGGTGTAACTCTAAACAGAAACAAATTTGCCAGACTTATCGATGTCATCGGGGAGATGCATGAATGTGTTCCAGAACTAAAAGACATTGAACTTTGCATGCTCAGCGAGTCTCATCAAAATCAGCTTGGAATGTTAAGCTGCCCTGAATGTACCCCCTTTGGCTACGATCCACAAGACAATATATCAATGGAATGTAACGCAGGTGATTTACAAGACATGGAAACCATTGAGAATGATCTTGAATGACAATGAACACTAATCCAACATAATTAATGATATGGGTGTAACATATATTTATTATTTATTGTGTATCTATCTTTTATGTTACTATTTCATTCTAACAATATCATAATAAAATAGTTCAAAATATACCTTGTATTTTTTTTTACAATGATATAAAATGTTACAGTCGAAGAGAGAGATCATTATTATGTTTCAGTATGCCAGACTATACGGATTACTTAAGAGAGCTCTACTACACCCCCGGTAAATCGGGGGCCTATGCAGGGCCTGAAAAATTATATCAAGCTGTTAAACAGGAAGGCAAATACAAGATTGGTAGACGGAGAATTTTAAACAATGAAGATTCTTATAGTCTGTATAAACCTATTCGTAAAACATTTCCGCGTTCAAAGGTGATAGTGAACACCATTGACTCTATGTGGGATGGTGACTTGGCAGACGTTTCAAACATTGCATCCCATAATGATGGATTTAAATTCTTATTAGTGCTTATTGATATATTTAGTCGATATTTATTTATAGTCCCCTTACAAAATAAACATCATCAGAACATTGTTGATGGTTTAAAATCAGTTTTCCAAAAAGGACGAAAACCTAACACCCTTAGAACAGATAAGGGTAGCGAATTTAAAAATCGTTGGGTAAAGACATTTCTGAAAAAAGAGGGAATAAACGTCATATACACTCAAAATGAAACAAAAGCAAATTATGCCGAGAGGGTAATTCGAACCATGAAGAACCTAATGTATCGTTATTTCATGAAGAATCGAACCTACCGTTTTGTGAATGTTTTGCAAGACTTGGTAAACAGTTACAACAATAGACCTCACAGATCATTAGGTGGGAATGCTCCAACCAATGTGAACCAAGAAAATGTCGATGAAATAAGACTCGAGTCTTATCTTTCGGGGAATGTCAGAATATCACAACTAAAATACCCTTTTCAAAGAGACTACCAACAGAAATGGACAGAAAAGTTTTTTAAAGTGAGTGAAAGATACAAACGCGGTCAATTACCTGTGTACAAGTTAAAAGATTTAGCAGACGACCCTATAGAAGGTACATTCTATGAGCCTGAGCTTCAAAAAGTCATAAAGTCAGAAGACGTTTCTTATAGAGTGGAGAAAATTCTTAAAAGAAGACGTCGTGGTAAAGCCAAGGAGGTTTATCTTTGAGCATATGGGATTATCAGATGTCGGGGTATACATCAACGGAGAAAGCGTTCCCGGAAGACCACTGAAAACAGACTTCACGGCAGGACATTATTCAGCTGCCTATGCTCGCTTATTTGAAGCCTCTGGGAAATGGAACAACGACGCTGGACTGATTATCACTCGTGATAATTTTGGAAGTGGATACTCACTTTTTGTATTCACGGTAGATCCGTGTGGGTTTGGAGAAGAGTATTTAAACCTAATTCGTAGGGGAAACACCAGACTGGAGTTGAAATTCAAACAAGCAACAACCAAAGCCGCTAATGTTGTAGTATTTGCAACATTTTCATCTTTACTTGAGGTCGACAAATCACGTGACATCAACTACATTCAACCATGAATTCATCACAACTGTTAAATATGGTGAAAACAGATCCTTGCTTAAGAAAATTTGTAAAAGGTGTATTTGCTAGTAATACACTGCCTCAAATGATTACAGAATTTCCAAGCGCCTTCATCGTCAATACACAACCTTTACCATTTCCCGGAGAACACTGGGTGGCAATATTAATGTACAGTCCATTGCAAGCAGAGTTTTTCGACAGCCTTGGAAAATCACCAGCTGATTACAATCAAGATATTCAAAACTTTCTTATTAAAAACAGTGTACACTGTCATTTCAAATCCGTACAACTACAACCACGTTATTCTGATATGTGTGGACTTTATGTATTGGTATTCTTAATTGCAAGATTGTGTTTCAAAAAGTCATTAAATTGTGTGTATAATTTATTTTCTAGTGACATTCAATTCAATGATGGTTTTGTAAAAAGTTTTATGCATGAATATTTTATGTATCATTAAAAATTCATGAAAAGTATATACGGGAGTAATTTATTATATATATATATATATATATATATATATATATATATATATATATATGACATTACTCGGAACTTCATTTTGGGGAAGTCTGGCGACTGAGAAACATGGACACAGACAGTATGAATGAATGGTGGAACACTCGTTCCTTGCTACCGTTTTCAACACCCACCATCATTTTAATATGTGGCAGTACACAAAGTGGGAAAACACATTTTACTAAAACACTTTTACAAAATGCAAATGGAATGTTTACCACACCTGTAGATAGAATAATTTATGCTTATTCTGAACATCAACCTATGTTTGAGGAAATGGTGCAGACAATACCAAACTTTTCATTACACAAAGGTTTGCCTTCTAAAGAAGACATTGAGCAGTATACAGAGGGGGTCAATCACACCATAGTGGTGCTGGATGATCTCATGTTACAAGTCGCACAATCTCAAGATTGTGTACATCTGTTCACAGTGACATCTCATCATAGAAACGTGACCACAGTGATGCTGTCCCAGAACCTCCGGGGAAATATGCAAGGACCATTTCATTGAATTGCCTTAATGTAATTTTGTTTAAGAATTACCGTGATTCTAAACAGGCCATCACTTTTGGATCACAAATATTACCAGGACAGGTTCCCTTTTCTAAAGCGGCATACGAATCCGCAACTCGACCCAATTTTGGTTACTTGCATGTTTGTCTTGAACCAACACAAAACCGAGAGTATCAGCTAAGGTCTCGTATTTTCCCAGGCGAAGAGATGATCATTTACCAACCTATATAATAAGTACGATTACATATTTCCGTCTCAGTATTCAATTATGAAGCAAACAATAAAGAAACACGAGGCTCTTTTAAAATTTCTCGTGTATGCGGACAATACACAACAAAAAGTAATCGTCAAAACCTTGACCAGTGAACAGTATGATGTGCTTAGTGAAATAGCACTTAACATTTATACTGGAACTTGCCCTTTGCCCAAAAAGTATATAAACCAACTGAAACCTTACGAATCGTACATTCGATCCCTTGGATCCAGAGAAGTCATCAACCGAGAGAAACGTCGGATTTTATTGAAACATATTTCTTTAGTGTCACTCCTACTAAGACCTATTGTGCAATATTTCAAAGGCAAATGGCGAGGGAAATGATACTTGTGCCGAAACTTAAATATGAACATCTACTTCAAAAATTGGACCAAGCCAAAGATCAGTCGACTCAAGCTATTTCGGCACAAGAAATCATCCCTGAAGATCAAGGACAAAATGTCAATGACCTTATGGATAAAACCAGTTTGATACAAAATGGTACTGGCTATGTGAGTAAGAAGAAAAACGCCGGAATACCTCCTGGAATTTCTTATGTTCGACGGAAGAAAAAAACTACACCTTGGCTAACATATTGACAATTTTATAACAATGAACAAAAATGTCTTGTTAATCATTTATTTGTTATTATAATTAATAAAAAAAAATAACATAACAAACTGAGTTTTTTTTTTACATTAATGATTAAAATCCAAATGGCAACGTGTCTAAATTAGGAAGAATTCTCCTTTTGGTGTAAACCATTTTGTAATTTTTAGTTTCTACTCTGTTTAACAATTTTCTCTTTCTACTGTCCCTCGATATTTTACAAGGGTTGACTATTTCGATTTGTCGGCCGTGTGAGGTACAGATAATCGATTTAATAGCATCGAAATTAATCAGTTTCGAGTTAGCCCAGTTCAGTGTAAATCCCCTGACTTTACATTCTTCTTTTCCCGACAGCGTACGGTAAGCATAATTCCTAGGACCCCCTGACACAAATTCAACAATGTAACCATCTTGTGGGGAAATCTCGTTTGTTAACTCCCCCAAATAATTACCAATGGGTAGATAACTCAAATCGTCCGACTTTTTAGTCTTGAAGATGACACTGTCTGTATCAAAATACAACACATTTTCGTTTAATTCGTCGAGAACACTGTATAATTTCAGTCTAGCCCACATGGTGGTAAAAGAGGCTAAGAATATATTGGTTTTGTTATCGAATTGAGTAAACAAAGGGTTGTTACTCCATTCTAAATGAAGTATGTCTCTTGAAACAATGTGAAAATTGTGTGGTATTTTCGTTGGATCTGAAAGCATCTGAAAATTTTTTTCAGCTTCTGACCCGTGAATGAACATAGACTGTTGCATGCCTAACCTCTGACCAAATTTACCCCAAAAGCTATTTAAACATAGTTTTGCTAAACATCGCAAACCCGGATTTTTTAAAATTTTATCATAGTCTAATTGTATGCCCTCTCTTTCTTGGTATCCCTTATGTATTTCCATTTGGCTTCTTCCGTAACGCATTCGGTCGGAAATCCCGAAGCCTCCTGTTTAATTTTTAAGAACATGTTCACATACTGAGCGAACAATCCTCCCTCACACGACTCGACGTCGTATTTTGACGACTCTGTAAAATGATAGGCTTCATAAATGTTTAATATTTTGTACCCTTTTGACGTTGCCATTTGAATTTCGGGAGTACAACACGTACCCGTGATGGCTCTCTCTTCTACAGAACATGTACATTCATTTTGATTTTCCTTGTCCGCACAAGTTCTACATAGTGGAAATTTCAATTTTCCGTTCGAATTATAAGGAAGCACAGGATGAAAAGTTTTCTGGGAGGGAGAATTTTAATTTTGGCAAGTCCAAAGTATTGTGACAAGCCCTGAAAATTGTCTGTGACGATGGTAGGATGGCCAACAGGGTAGCGACAATACTTGTTTGTCCATGGATAGAGACTAGTAAAGTCGTAATACTGTATGGTTTCGTCTTCTGCAGCTTTGTAATGTAGTTTGATGGCATTGGTTCTACCACCAAAAAAACTGTCACGTGGGTCAAGTCTGTCTTGAAGATCTAATGTCGACACGAATTGTTGTAATGCCACATTCTTGTCCAGCTGATATTTAAATTGATGCTCCCATATGGTAACCAACTTGTATCCCGAATTTTTAAGTTCTTTTTCTCTGTTTATCGTCATATTGTATAATTCGTTGATTGTCTGATTGGTGGAAGGATGTTTGATGTTATTCCGGTCTTCTGGGTAACAGGAGGGACAACCGTGGAACACACAACCTATATAGATACAAAAAAACATTTAAACCCTCATGTATTCGTAGTTAAGTCCAGATACGCCGCCGCCGCCCCCCGCCCCCCTTCAGTTTTGGGGGAAAGGGGGCAAATGTTAGATCTAAAAAGTGAACTCTATGGTCAAGTCTTACCATAAAATTCGTAAATAGTTCCTTTTTCTTTGGGGTTCTGAACAAATCCGTCACATCTATAATTGGTGCCAGGAACTTGGTATTCACCTCCATTGAGAGCGTGAGAAATATGTAGAGGGGTTCCCCGCTGACGACTTTTTTCCATTAACCATTCTAACCACTGGATGGAAATCTTACTGTAATTGTCGCGTTTCGTATAACCTTGAGAAGGTACTACTGCTATAGGACTCTTGAAATGTCGTCCTCCTATCTGCACATTTTCGTCATTTTTTAAGTCGACTAAGGACGTCCAGGAATCATCGATATTGACCACTTCTAGTCCCTCCAAATATTCGATGTCATACCAATCAGACTCCCCGTCTTTGGTGATTTCTATCTTGTATTTTCCCTTCAAAAATAGAGACTTGAATATCCCCATGCAAACGCTTGCAATGGTGACGTAATCAAATGGGTCGATTCCAAACGTGGTTCTTTTCTTAACGGTTCCGTCTGCTTGGACAATGTTTTCTTTGATAGTCGTCACCTTAATCATTAAATTTCTAAATTCCAGACAGCCCCGTCTCAGTATGTCAACATCTGAGCGACAATATTGCAACATTTCTTATCGAAAGTTAAAGGTTTCGCTCTGTTTCGTTGCGTGCCATTCTGCAAGCTTTTTCCTCTCCCCAGTCGACATGAAATCGTACCCATAATACTTTAATCCTGGATACGGCCCCACGTAATTTTGATGGGTTTTAGTATTAAATAAATGAGGAAAGTATCCTTTACAGAGTTCCTTCAGTCCAAAGGCTTCTGGTATTTTAGCAAGTTTCATGGGAAGGAAATTCAGAGAATCCACAAAAGTTAAATTCAGTTTTTGGGCAATGTGCATGTACATGATTTTCGAACCGTTATATATAATCTTGTTCGGTCGAATGGAGTGACGGTCGATGAGAACTTCTAAAACGGGGTACAAGTCGAAACTTTTGGCATTGTGTGCAACTAAAATCGAGTCTCTACAGTGTTTACTGGTGATGTAAGCACAAAACTAATCGGCAGCGCTGTCACCAGAAAATACGAGTTCCCTTTTCCCACAAGTGTCGGTACAAGGGGAATACAAATATTCTCCTTTTCGGGTGCGGGAACATTTTCCACAACGTGTTCCACAATAATGACAGGTAGCACCTTCCACTAGTTCCTCTTTTTCGCATTGGTGACATGTGGTCTGTAGTACAGCAAAATTTACTTTGTGCTGTTGCAGACCACAGGATGGGTCACGA